ACATATACAATTAGTGAAAAATGTTTTAAAGACACACACACACACACACACACACACACACACACACACAAAGAGATTTATTACAAGGAATTGGCTCCTGTGATTATGGAGGTTGACAGGCCCAAGTCCTGGGGTGAGCAGGCCAGCTGGAGGCCCAGGGGAGCCCATGGTGGGATGACAAAGGCAGCAGCCCGAACGCCCAGGGGGTGATGTCTCCCCTGAGTCCAAAGGCAGGAAAAGCCGATGTCCCCATTTGGAGCGGGTCAGGCAGGAGGACCTCTCTGGGATCACGGAGGCTCAGCCTCTGGTTCCATGCAGGGCTCCAACGGTGGGAGGAGGCCCACCCCTTGGGGAGAGCAATCTGCTTTCCCAACTCAAACGTTCCTCTCGTGGAAACACCCTCCCAGGCGCACCCAGATAGGACTGACCCGATTCCAGGCACCTGGACATGAAAGGTTTCCTGTTGGGTGTGCCCTGTGTACGGGCACATTTGCAACACTGCCCTTCACTACGCAGCGGCTTTTCCCGCTCTCCTGTGCCTTGTGGACTGTGATCCAATCTTTGCTATTCCCGTGGAACTTAGCAAGGGTGGAGAATTCCAAAATATGATGTGCCCTATGTTAGTTAATCACTCCCTGTGGTATAGAAGGAGTTGGGATTTTTGTATATTTTCACATATAATATTTCAAGCAAATTTTGCTTCTAAGCCTGTGATCGGTAAAGACTTCCTGATTATCAGTTCCAAAACTTTCTGGGATTTCTCCTTCTAAATGTGCATGATTGACATGAAGTAAAATAAATGATAGAAGCAATAAAACATGCAACTTATAGTCTTGTGAGGCTAGAAAAAGCCACTCCTGCTCTTTAGAGAAACCACTCTCTGTTTATTAGCTGTTTCTTCCAGTATTGACATCTGAATTTCTAGATAATGCACATAAACGGATAAACCTTACCAATTGTTGACATTATTTAGTCACTACCCTGTACATGAGGTACAATCTTCCAACTGAGTCTACAACAATTTCTATTTAAATCGTAATTCAGAATGTGTGTCAGCTATGGCTGCGTCAACAGTGGTAAATGCTGGGCCAAGTAGGATCATCCGATTACATTTCCTTTCTTGCACAACTTTTGTTTCTTCTGAAGTTCATAATTATTTCATTTAAGAAGATGCTCCATGTTCTCTGAACCTATTGCAAAGTCTTCCTTACCTGTAAAAAGCTTGGCAATAGAATCATCTACTCCTGTAAACTAGTCACAGAACAACGGGTATTTCAGTGGCACCTTTTTCCTATAGTCACAGGGGTGAATGGAGATTTTATGAAGTTTGAAGTGGACACAGTTTGGGGGAGCTGTCCTCACAAAAGAATACAAAATTAAGCATAAAGTTTAATATTTACTTAAGTTAAAAACTCACAACTTTAAAAAGCTGAAGCTGCCATAGCATCCCAAACATGACATAGTATTTTAAATCATCTTCCAACACACCTCTAAACTCTGTTTTCCCTGTACTTCTTTGCTGCGCACACATTGTTTACATGTGACAAGTGTAAGGTGAGTGTCCACAGAGAGAGGAGATTGTCGAATGTTTTCTCTGGTGCGGTTCTTCTGGGTTACTGCTGTCAGGTCCTTCAGGGCATGCGCATGTGCCACCTTCATGTCACCTCAAGGAACCTGCACCGTGGGTGACAGAAGTGCCCCTGAAAGCCATTCCGGAGCTGGCGGGACAACCCTAAGAATACACGATGTGACTGCAGACCACATAGGAACCCTCTCGCTCAAGCCAACTTCTTACTCAGGTGAACAAAAGCCACGTGACACGGAGGAACGTGTGAAGAAGGGGGAGTTGGAGTGGAAAGTGGCAGTGGTCATCTGAACCGATTGTAGTCAAAATAACTTTTGTTTTCATCGTTTACAAAAACTTACAATTATGTAAAGACACCACTAGGGCCCTTGGGGACTTTGAAGGGGCCCGAGAGAGGCCTTTGAGTTCAAGCTCCCTTAGGCTCGCTGTCAATCCATGTCTTCCCTCCCCGCAGCCCCTCTGCCCCACAGCCAGTCTCGTGTCCTCAGACCCCACCAGAGAGGCTGTTTCTAAGCCTGTGGCAGAGCCGTTATCTTGGAACTTCCTACTCATCCTGAGAAATTCCTGGTCCTTTCTCTTGGGTTGGATCCTCTCTTGCCTGGATCTGGAAGTACTAGAGCAAATAGACAAATCCATATGTATAGTAGGAGATTACAATACATCTCTCTAATCATTGACAGATTGAACAGACCAAAAAATCACCAAGGAAACATGTGTTGAGCTCCAGGTTGTACTATTATGATCCAATTGATGTATTTAATACACTGCATTCATTACCCACATATTATGCATGCTTTTCAAATACACTGGGGCATTTTTTTAAAAAAAAACTGATCAAATACGCAGGCCCCAGAGGAAGCTCAGATGCCTGGGACTTGGGTCATAACTGAGCAAGAGCAGAGAAAAAGGCTTCTCTGGTCCTGGGTTTACAATGATGGCAACACCAACAATACTGGGGAATTCTGATGCAGGAAGTGAAAGGGGGTGTGGGGCAGAGGAGAAGTAAAGACTATACCAGTGAACCCTGCTGGGAAAACTCCCCTCTCCCAAATGGTAAAAATGAGGAAGTGGGGGGAATGCAAAAAAAAGCAGAAAGGAAGGAGACACACCCTGAAGGAGAGTGAGGTTGACAGAATAACCACTGCCACCTATGTAGCCCTCTGCCTGTGCCCAATCCCAATTAATTCTCCTTTTAATTTACTGTGTGACGTCTGGGAAGAGGAGGAATCAGACTCCTATTCACAGGAATCAGACTCGATGTTTCGCAGTCACAGGAATCAGACATCTAAAATGAAATTATTTTTAAAAATATATTTTTACTGATTTCAGAGAGGAAGGCAGAGGGAGAGAGAGACAGAAACATCAGCGATGAGAGACTCATTGATCGGCTGTCTCCTGTACGTCCCATGAGCCCGCAACCTGGGCATGTGCCCTGACCTGAAATCAAACCGTGACCTTCTGGTTCATAGGTTGATGCTCAGCCGCTGAGCCACGGCAGTCGGGCTAAAGTGAAATGATGTTTCTCCCTCTGTCACCAATATGTTCTCTGGAGCACATATTACAGTTCTATAATATCATGTGAACATATTTGCTATTTTAATAAGAAGAACATTCATTGAAACCGGCATGCTTTTTCTGGGAGTACACGGCACTAAAGAATAGAACGACTACTACAGTTTGGTGCCACTGTCTTGGCTCATGCTGATTTGCGAGCTGTTTTCGACACCATGCATTTTGCACCATCTGTGTC